TTTATTGGGTACAAAACATTTCTTGCCCTTGGTAGCATTCTTTTCAATATGGAATACATGGATATACATCTTGCATTTCTATCTCTGATATAGATATACACACACACACACACACACACACACACACACACACCAGGAGAATTTTAATGCTTTTTCTGTGTGTTAAGAATGACTTAAAATAGATTAGAAAGGAAATAATTTCATATATCTTTTTATAATGTTGTATTGAGGAAATGCTTTTGTTTTTAGTATTTATAAAGACAATTGCAGAAGAAAACAATGAATTGGAAAATTAAGATCTATGTTCATTTTTGTACTTAAAATATATGAGAAACTTAAAAGCAGTTATTATGTTATATTACATTGAATGATACATATTCAATTACATAATAGTAAATCAAGCCATAAAAGCAGTTGGCTAGTACTAATATGTAAACATAAGTATGTCCATAATAGTTAATATTCTAGGAGTAAGGACAGTTTTAGAAAATTACCTCATTTTCTAGGACTATGGCACTAATAATCACTCTATTGAGTAGTGTGGGTCAAAATTTTAAAATCCTTGTTGTGCTGTACAAGATCTTTTAATATCTGGCACTTGTCTAATTTCATTCCTCCCTGCCTCACTATTTCCATCTTATTAACTTTACMTTTCACACTCTAGTTATTCTTATCTATTTTATATTCTTGTGTATAGTACTGAGTCTTTACAGGCGATCTTGAGTATCTTTTCTTTCTTTGTTATGCACCCTGCACATAACTATAGTATGTGATTATCAAGAGAATATTTGTCTTCAATGTTAGACTAAACTCAGTGAGTAAAGATATTTTTAAAAAATCTATACATACCTCCCTTTGTATCCCCTTTRTAGATATACCCTTTGTACATATAAATGACTGAGACTAAACTGACAGGTTTGAACTCTATAGGAAGCTAGTTACTTTTGCATTGCTCCTCTTTTTGATCCACAGCCTTAGTTTTAGCTCTGACTTAACTCATGATCCTCCTTGATGTCTGGAAGAAAATGAGTATATTATATATAAATCAATCAATAAAGGAAATATTACTATTCAAGTTATGTTTTTAATTATATAAAAAGTTTGAAGTCTGGTATCGCTATACCGCCTGATTCACACTTCCTGCTTAGYATTGTTTTTGCTATTCTGGGTCTTTTATTATTCCATATGAATTTCATGATTCTTTTATYTATTTCTACAAGATATGCTGTTGGGATTTTGATTGGCATTGCATTGAACTTATAGAGAACTTTTGGTAAAATCGCCATTTTGATGATGTTAGTTCTGCCTATCCATGAGCAGGGTATATTTTTCCATCTTCTAAGGTCTTCTTCTATATCTTTCTTTAGGGTTCTGTAATTTTCATTGTATAAATCTTTCACCTCTTTTGTTAGGTTGATTCCCAAGTATTTTATTTTTKGGGGGGATATTGTGAATGGAGTAGTTGTCCTCATTTCTGTTTCAGAGGATTTGTCGCTGATATACAGGAATGCCTTTGATTTATGCGTGTTGATCTTATATCCTGCCACTTTGCTGAATTCATTTATTAGCTCTAATAGCTTCTTTGTAGACCCTTTTGGGTCTGCTAGGTATAGAATCATATCATCTGCAAATAGTGATAATTTAATATACTACAGAGCAATAGTAACAAAAACAGCATGGTACTGGTACCAAAACAGGCGGGTGGACCAATGGTACAGAATAGAGGACACAGTAACCAATCCACAAAACTACAACTATCTTATATTTGATAAAGGGGCTAAAAGCATGCAATGGAGGAAGGATAGCATCTTCAACAAATGGTGCTGGGAAAACTGGAAATCCATTTGCATCAAAATGAATCTGAATCCCTATCTCTCGCCATGCACAAAAGTTAACTCAAAATGGATCAAGGAGCTTGATATTAAATCAGAGACAGGGCATCTGATAGAAGAAAAAGTTGGTTATGATCTACATGCTGTGGGATCGGGTTCCAAATTCCTCAATAGGACACCCATAGCGCAAGAGTTAACATCTAGAATCAACAAATGGGACTTACTCAAACTAAAAAGTTTTTTCTCAGCAAAAGAAACAATAAGAGAGATAAACAGGGAGCCTACATCCTGGGAACAAATCTTTACTCCACACACTTCAGATAGAGCCCTAATATCCAGAATATACAAAGAACTCAAAAAATTAGACAATAAGATAACAAATAACCCAATCAATAAATGGGCCAAGGACCTGAACAGACACTTCTCAGAGGAGGACATACAATCAATCAATAAGTACATGAAAAAATGCTCACCATCGCTAGTAGTCAGAGAAATGCAAATCAAAACTACCCTAAGATACCATCTCACTCCAGTAAGATTGGCAGCCATTAGGAAGTCAAACAACAATAAGTGCTGGAGAGGATGSGGGGAAAAGGGTACTCTTGTTCATTGCTGGTGGGACTGCAAATTGGTGAGGCCAATTTGGAAAGCAGTATGGAGATTTCCTGGAAAGCTGGGAATGGAACCACCATTTGACCCAGCTATTCCCCTTCTCAGTCTATTCCCTAAAGAACTAATAAGAGCATGCTACAGGGACACTGCTACATCGATGTTCATAGCAGCTCAATTCACATTAGCAAGACTGTGGAATCAGCCTAGATGCCCTTCAATAGATGAATGGATAAAAAAAATGTGGCATTTATACACTATGGAGTATTACTCTGCATTAAGAAATGACAAAATCATAGAATTTGGAGGGAAATGGATGGCATTAGAGCAGATTATGCTAAGTGAAGCTAGTCAATCTTTAAAAAACAAATACCAAATGACTCCTTTGATATAAGGGGAGTAAACAAGGACAGGGTAGGGACTAAGAGCTTGAGAAGAAGATTTACATTAAACAGGGATGAGAGGTGGGAGGGAAAGGGAGTGAGAAGGGAAATCGCATGGAAATGGAAGGCAATCCTCAGGGTTATACAAAATGACATATAAGAGGAAAGGAGGGGTAAGACAAGATAATACAAATGGAAGAAATGATTTACAGTAGAAGGGGTAGAGAGAGAAAAGGGGAGGGGAGGGGAGGGGAGGGGGTATAGTAGAGAATAGGACAGACAGCAGAATACATCAGACACTAGAAAGGCAATATGTCAATCAATGGAAGGGTAACTGATGTGATACAGCAACTTGTATACGGGGTAAAAGTGGGAGTTCATAACCCACTTGAATCAAACTGTGTAATATGATGTATTAAGAACTATGTAATGTTTTGAACGACCAATAATAATAAAAAATAAATAAAAAAATAAAAATAAAAAAATTATATAAAAAGAATGTTATTTTATTTTATTAATTTGGGCCTACAAAGAATATAGTTGACTAAAAATTATGATTGTGTATTTAAATTTGGAATAACTTGTAACTGTGCAAACAGTTCTGCCATATCTTTAATCCCCACCCCACCCCAAAGAATGATATTTTTGTCTTTACAAAAGACACTATGTTTATTCCAAGGGAATTGTCTTTATTATTCTCTAATTAAAATTTTATAAATTCACCAAATATTACACTTTGCCAAAGGTAAATTAAAGATTTACAGCATCTAGATACAGTGTGAAAGGATTGACTTTTGATGCTGTATATAAATCTATCATTATGGAATCCAGAAGACATATCTTATATATATTGAGGTCTAACATGGCTCTGGTAAGCAATTCCTAATATTATTTTTCTTTAYTAATATACTAGTAATTCTGCAGTTTCTCAGTGGTAACTAATGAAATGTAGTAATAGTAGCATCATCAGATAGTCTGCATTGGAAAAAAATTATTTGAAAATTTGAGACTTAGTCATTCCTTTAAAAAATACTTTTGTCTATTTTTGAAAATACATGTCTATTTATTTATCATTTTAATGCATGTTGTTTCCAAGTTAATAAACCTGTTTTCAAAACAGAGATTAAGGGATTTGACTTATTTTTCTTTTCTCAGTGAATGTGCCARTGGTCTGTTTTCTATAAGATTTGTCTGTTCAACTTACTATTCTGATTATGAGTAGTTTATTATCCAGATAGACCTTTAAAAATAGAATATTGAAGAGCTCTATGTACATGGTTGAGTGCTTATTTTAGGATGATTGAGAACTTATAAATAGCATGAAGAGACCATTACAATCATGTTAGCATAACATAAATAAAGTTTTTTAAAGTAAAAGAAAAGAGATTATAATATTTTAAACATCTCCAGTAAGGTGAGTTGGTGGAACATCTTCAAATGATGATTTGGCTCTTCTTAGAACAGTGGTTATATCTTTATATATTACTTAATTTCTTGCATTTATATTCTGATTGTCGAGTCTCACATTTTATTACTTTTTATGAAGATTGCCTTGAGATTTTAACTTACATACTTTAACTTATATCTTTTTGCATTGGCGGCATGAACTTCCTGGGGGGCAGTTATTTTATGTTTGAAGTTTTTCAGAATTTCCATCTGCTTTTACTTGACTTGTGGTCTTGTAGATCATGCTTGGCCCATGGGATCTTACAGTGTGCCGAGAGGATGTGGAGTTTTGTCAGCCAGTGAAATATGTCTGGCTTTTTTTTTTTTTCATGTTTCTTTTTTTCTTTTTCTTTCTTTCTTTCTTTTTTTTTTTTTTTCCCAGCAGCTTTCATATGCTTCTCGTCCTGTGTGGTCTTCACTGAACTGAATTTATATTTAACAGAACTACTCACTCTCTTTATCATTTTCTATGACTTGGCTTTTCTTAAAGAGAAGGTGTGTGGAATGAATAGGTGAGCCAAAAAAAAACTATAATATTAGCAAATAGGAAAACCTAAAATTGAAAGCTTAAAGTAATATCTATAAATGGACTTCTCTGTTGAGAAATATGTATTTTGTAATGCAAAGGGGTGTTATATTTCCACTTTGTATGACTGTCAAAAACTTCACATGCCAACAGTATACCTTCAGGTTGTTTGTGATCAAAATGATTTCTTTTGCTTGTTTATAGGCACTACTGCAGTCTTCAGTTAAGCAACAAGTAGAAGCTATTGAAAAACAGTACATCTGTGCAATTGAGAAACAAGCCCACAAGTGTGAAGAGTTGCTAAATACTCAGGTAATAAAAGTGCACATGCAGTGTATATTTATGCTTTTCTTTTGACTCTCCTCCTCTGAGAGCTCTAGTGCTGTTTGTTCAGTTTCATGCCATTTACTTCACTTGATGTATTTCGGAGAAAAAGTATGCTTATGTAAACTCAAATTTTGAGACTTTTATGATAGACCTAAAATAGGACTAAAGTCCTAAAATATGTGGGCTTGCTCCCAAATTAATGATTATTATGTTAATTTCGGGGTTGTAATAATATTCAACAAATAGCAGAAGCAAAGGGATAACTACAAATGCACTATGGCAATGGAATGACTTTTAGTGACCAGAAGTTAATAACATTTGAATTTTGAAAATTCAGGCAGGGTGTAGTGGTGCATACCTGTAATCCTAGTGATTCGGGAGGCTGAAATAGGAGGATCACAATTTTGAGGCCAAGCTTAGCAACTTAGTGAGACTCTGTCTCAAAAACATAAAATAAAAAGAGCTGGGAATGTAGCTTAGAGGTAGAAACCTTCTGGGTTCAATCCACAGTACCAAAATAAATAAATAATAACACATATATAATTTATTTTTAACGAATATGTTAAAAACTTAAAAATTGTACATATTAATGGAGGTAACAAAACACTTATTCTTGAGTTACATTTTTTTCACATGGTTTCTGTTTGAATTTTTCTATTACTTTTTGTCCCTTTTTATGTTTATTGTCTTTAAAGATTTGAATGRTTAAGGAATCAACTGAGGAGAATTTGTAGATGTATCCTAGTATAAATAATGTATGCMAGATGTTCTTGTACAACTTTTCAATAATATAGTTGAAAATTAAATCAACTTTATTTAAATGTAATGTTTATAGGATGAAAAGAAAATTAGYTACAATTTAGAAAACAAAATTAAATAGCGAATTTAAATAGATTTATAGATGTGCCACCTCATCCTGAAGATTGGGACCAGTTCTATTAAATATTTTTCAGTGTTCTTTTAATAAATGGCTTGAAAAAAGGAACACACAGGGAATTTTATAARTTGGATATAACAATCATACTATTTTGGGTGGTAAAATACCATGCCATCAGTAGTATAAAGTGTAATGACTTCATTTATGCACAGAAATATCACAGAGAAAAATTCAAGTCATAGAACTTTGAAGCATTATAAAACATATGTTAGTCGAAATATTTCCTAGACTCTGGCTCCAGGAAACAAACATTTATATTTTACTCATGCTGCATTATATTGAAGGTTTTCTTCGGTTTCTGTCTCATGTTGCCATCAAGGCAGCTATATTGAGTATATTTCCTATGTGGAACATTGAAATATACTCAATATAGTATATCACTGCAGAGTGAGAGAGCCCTGTTAGATTTTGTATCAATAATTAAGTACTCTGACCTGGAGTTGACATTTTCAATTCCAATTTATGTCCACATATCCCCAAACTCCAATCATAATGGGGCCAGCTAATGAGATCTTACCATCCATCTGAAAGGCAGAGAGCAARAGATATTTGTTAAACTGCACTAATATATTGCAGTGCTCTTTTGGTCACCATGTATTTGAAGCCTGMATCTCATAGGCAAATTTATATATCTTGTCTCCATAGGAGAAAATCTGAAAGGTCTGTCTTACTAAGACCTTGGACTGAAAAGTCCAGGATTTSTAGGTGATAGGGGAAGGGTTTGGTGTGCTGCAGTCTCTATTCTCAGGTCCAGATATGGTTCCTTTTGATCTGAAGAACTAGGAACTAAAATATAAATTGTTTACCTGAAGCRTATCTAGTATAAAAGGTAGGGCATTTACTGTAACTACTCCCAAGAGGAAAGTTAAAGAATTTAAGATATGGCTATTTTTAGTATGTAGTAATTATAGAATCTCACTGACAGGTTAAACAKAAGCATGTGGTCTGGGTGTAGGGATTGCTAATTGATTGATAATGATTCTCTTTTTAGGGTTTTTGGAAGAAGTCCCTAGTGCATTGTTTCTTGTCATCTTAAAGTTTKTCCAAGGTTTTTAATTTGGTTTTTGAATTTGCAAATTCCCAAAGTTCTGAACCTTTCCTGTGATTTGATGCTTGTGAATTGACTTTTTCCTATAAATTTGTAAATAATTTATTTTAGTGATGTCTCATTAAAAATAGCCAAGAGTAAAGCTATTTATGGTTTCAAACAAGTTTTGGATTAAATTATTAATATACAAAAACCAGTTGTTTTTACACCAAGTAGAATTGAAAATAAAATAAAGAGAGYAATTCCATTTATAATAGCATCCAAGTTAAGAAAATACCTAGGTATAAACTTAACCAAGGTGCAGAAAACCATTTACAATGAAAACTATAAAACATCACTAAAAGAAATGTAAAGTTGCCTAAAAGGAAAGATGTATCCTGTTTATTAATTGGAAGTATTTGGCCAAGAACACTCCAGGATAGGATACTTATAGGGAACATAAGAAGTTCAGTGTGATGGTTAGTTTGTAAAACCACATGAGTGCTAGAAATGGTGATTTCACATTTGCTAGCTCTTAAGATGTCATTTCAAACTGGAAGTAAGTAAATTTTATTTAACAAGAAGAATTTTTTGGGGAGGAGTACAAATATAGCATCAATATTGTTCCTTAGTAATCAATTGACTCCCCTCTCTCTTTCCTTAAATGAAAAACTTAAGGGAAAATTTAAGGGAAAAACTGGATTCAACCCTGATTTGTCGCTTAATTCTGTTAATCTATCTGTACCTAATTTGCTGTGCCCCAAAGCCTATCAACTATTTTAGATATGTTCTACGTAAAATTAATTGCATCCTTTATTAAGGAATGTGTGTACCTATATTTGGCCAAGAACACTCAAGGTTAGGATACTTATAGGGAACATAAGCATCATAATCAATACATAGAACATTTGCATCAGTTCAAGAAGCTTTCTCATTATTGTCTAGTCATGCTCCTCAAATGATCTCTGGTCCCAAGCAACYACTAATCTGTATTCTCTTGCTATTTGCTTGTTTCACCTTTCCTTCCCCCTCGCCCTAGGTACTGGGTTTGAACCCCAGGGCCTCATACATGCTAGACAAGTGCTCTACTACTGAACCTAGCCCTGTTTGATCATCTCTATAATTTTATATAAAATATAATTTAGATTCTTCTGTGTCTGTATACCTTGGTTCATCATAATATATTTTGAGATTCTTTGTGTGTGTATGTGGTGGGGAGGTGTATTTATACCTTTCAGTTACTGAATAATATTTTCTTATACAGGCATATAGCATCTTTTTATCTATTCACTTATTGTTATATACTTAGATTGCTTAAAGTTAGGGGCTGCTATGAATGTTTGCATAAAATTGTTGGGACATATTTTTATTTTTGTTTATACATATTTAGATATTGACTTACTGGATCACATGGTAAGTGTGTTTAACTTTATAACTAGGTGCCAAACGCTTTTTGAAAGTTTTGTTCCATTTTACATTCTTAACTGCTGATGTATAAGAATTCTCTTTGATTTATCCTCTTAGAGCTTGGTATTTTCAGTCATTTAGTGTTTTTTACAGGGGAAAGTGGGGAATGGTATCTAATCCAATGGCATTTATCTGAATGACTTTTGATGGTTAACATCTTTTCATGTGAGTACTGGCTGTTTGTATATTTTCTTTTGTGAAATACATATTCAGAATTTTTGTTCATTTTCCTAAGTTGCATACATAAATAATAAGATTTTTCACAAAATTTTGACTGTATGTATGCATTATGAATATTTTATTTTAGTTTTATTTTCTTAATGCTATCTTTAATTCCATTTACTTTTGATGAATGGAATTTTTTTCTTTTATCTATCATCCTTTTAATTCTGTATCTATGAAATCTTTGCCTAATTATAGCTGTCAAAGGTTTTCCTCCTGTATTTTCAAAAGATGTGTATTTTCTTCAATTAATTATGTGATCAGTTTTTTAATTTGGGTTATGATGGGGTGATATCATCAGATGTCTTCTCCCTCCACCTCATATGCAGATCCATTTATTCTAGCACCTTTCAGAGAAAAGACTTTCATTACTCTAACACCTTTGGAGAAAGGTGCTGTGTACAGATTTATGGACTCAATCTAGTGTTTCTCAACCTTGGCACTAATGTTATTGGAGCTTAATTACCCTTTGTTTTGAGGAACTGTCATATGCATTGTAAAATGCTTACCAACATCCCTCATATCTGCCTACTAGGTGGCAGTGGAACATCCTCAATTGTGATAACCAGAAATGCCCTCAGATACTGCTGACACCCTGACAATATTGATACTTTCTTGTCTATGAACRTGGAGTATGTCTTTATTTATTTAGTAATTCTTTGATTTAATTCATTGAAGTTTTGTTGTTCCCCTCATGTAGATCTTATATACAATTTGTTGGATTAATAAAATGATTCATTTTAAAGATTGCTAATGGAAATGTAATATATTTTGAGTTTTATTTGTTCCATTTGTTCATTGCTAGTGTATAGGAAAGTAATTGACTTTTGTATAYTAATCTTGCATTCTATAACTTTGATATGCTATAATCACTTAGTAATTCCAGAGGTTGCCCATTCTTTAGAATTTTCTACATAAACAGTCATGTCATCTATAAAAAAGGACACTTTTATTTCCCAATCCATGTACTTTTTATTTCCTTTACTTGTGTCTTGCTTTAGCTAGGATTTCTAGTATGATGTGAAGAAACAGTGGTGAGAGGGCTGGAGTTGTAGCCCGGTGGTAGAGCACTTGGCCAGCATGTGTGAGGCACCATATGCAATCCTCAGCATCACAAAAACAAACAAATAAATGAATGAATGAATGTATTGTGTCAATCTACAACTAAAGCATTAGCTTTTTTTGTGATGTTACTGGAAAAGATTCTAGTTTTTCATCATTAAATATGATGTTAGCTATAGATTTTTGTTAGGTATTATTTATTCCTTTGAGGAAGTTATCTTTTGTTCTCATTTCATTGAGTTTTTATCACATATACATGTTGGATATGTT